TCCTCAAGCAAAAAGAGGAAGTTTGGCAGTGGATTTCAGCTCAGGGCCAATCTTCCTCACCAAAAACAAATGAAAAACAATAAAGATAAAAATAATATAAATTAATAATAGAAAGACAACTAGAAAACCCCAATATTTGAAAACTAATAAGATGTGTCTCAGTAATCCACAGGTCAAAAAAAAAAAAAAATTGAAATTAAAAAGTTCTTAAGGGGCCAGCCCGGTCGCAGAGCGGTTAAGTTCGAGCGCTCAGCTTTGGCAGCCCAGGGTTCATGGGTTTGGATCCCAGGTGTTGACCTACCCACCACTCAAGCCATGCTGTGGCAGCATCCCATATACAAAATAGAGGAAGACTGGCAACAGATGTTAGCTCAAGGCCAATCCTCCTCACACACACACACAAAAAAGTTCTTGAGCTGAATGAATAAGAAAAGATATCATATTTTCCATACAATAACAACAAACTATCTGAAAAGAAAATTATGAAAACAATTCCATTTACAGCAGCATCAAAGAAATATTTAGAAATTAACTTAACCAAAGAGGTGAAAGACTTGCACAATGAAAACTACAAAACATTGCTGAAAGAAATTAACGACAACATAAATAAATGAAACATATCCCATGTTCACGGACTAGAAGACTGAATATTGTTAAAATGTCAATACCACTCAAAGTGACCTACAGATTCAATGCAATTCCTATCAAAATCCCAATGATATTTTTTGTAGAAATAGAAAAACCTATCCTAAAATTCACATAGAATTTCAAGGGACCTGAAATAGCTAAAACAACCTTGAAAAAGAAGAACAGAGATCAAGGACTCACACTTCCTGATTTCAAAACTAACTATAAAGCTGCAGTAGTCAAAATAGTGCGGTAGTGGCATAAAAACAGACATACAGACCAAGAGAATAAAAGAGAGATCCCAGAAATAAACCCTTGTATATATGGTCAAATGATTTTTGACAAGACTGTCAAGACCATTCAATGGTGATAGGACAGTTTATTCAACAAAGTGGTGCTGGGAAAACTGGATATCCACATACAAAAGAATGAAGGTAGACTCTTAACTAAAACCATATACCCCAAAAATTAATTCAAAATGGATCAAAATCTAAATCTAAAACCTAAAACTATAAAATTCTTTTCATGACTTTGGATTTGGCATTTATTTCTTGGATATGATACCAAACAAAAGAAAAAATAGACAAATTAGACTTCATGAAAATTTTTAATTTTGTGCATCAATAGACAATATCAACAGAGTAAAAAGGCAACCCACAGAATGAGAAAATATTTACAAATCTGATAAGGGATTAATATCTAGAACATACAGAGAACTCTTGAAACTCAACAACAAAAAAACTCAATTCAAAAATGGGCAAAGTGGGCCGGCCCCGTGGCTTGGTGGTTAAGTGCGCGCGCTCCGCTGCTGGCGGCCCGGGTTCGGATCCCGGGTGCGCACCGACGCACCGCTTCTCTGGCCGTGCTGAGGCCGCGTCCCACATACAGCAACTGGAGGGATGTGCAGCTATAACATACAACTATCTACTGGGGCTTTGGGGGAAAAAATAAAAAACAAAAAAAACAAAAAAACAAAAACAAAAAAAACTTTAAAAAAAAAAAAAGGGCAAAGAACTTAAATAGACCTTTCTCCAAAGAAGATGTACAATGGCCAATAAGCACATGAAAACATGCCCAACATCACTAATCATTAGGGAAATGTAAATCAAATCTAAGAGATAACACCTCACACCCATTAGGATGGCTACTATCAAAAAAACCCCGAAAATAACAATTGCTTGAAAGGATGTGGAGAAACAAGAACCCTTGTGCACTGTTAGTGGGAATGTAAAATGGTATAGCCAATGTGGAAAACAGTATGGCGACTCCTCAAAAAATTTAAAAAACAATTACTATATGATTCAGCAACTCCATTTCCGGGTATATACTCAAAAGAATTGAAAGCAAGGTCTCGAAGAGATATTTTTACACCCTTGCTCATAGCAGCGTTATTCACAATAGCTAAAACATGGAACAACAAAAGACCCCAAATAGCCAAAGCGATCCTGAGGGAAAAAAGACAAAGCTGGAGGTATCACACTCCCTGATTTCAAAATATACTACAAAGCTATAGTAATCAAAACAGCATGATATTGGCAGAAAAACAGACAAAACATTGCTGAAAGAAATTAAAGAAGACATAAATGAATGAAAGATCAATGGAACAGAATTGAGAACCCAGAAGTAAAACCACACCTCTATGCACAGCTAATTTTCGACAAAGGAGCCAGAAACATACAATGGAGAAAGGAAAGTCTCTTCAATAAGTGGTGTTGGAAAAACTGGCCAGCCACACACAAAAGAATGAAACTAGACCAGTATCTTAAGCCATATACAAAAATTAACTCAAAATGGATTAAAGCCTTGAATGTAACACCTAAAACCATAAAATTCCTAGAAGAAAACACAGGCAATACACTTTTTGACATGGGTCTTAGCAGTATCTTTTTGAATTCCATGTCTCCCCGGGCAAGGGAAACAAACAAACAAAAAATAAACAAATGGGACTACATCAAACTAAAAATCTCCTGCATAGCAAAGGAAACCATCGACAAAACAAAACAAAAAAACCCTACCAATTGAGAGAATATACTTGCAAATCACATATCCAACAAGGGGTTAATATCCAAGATATATAAAGAACTCATACAACTCAACAACAAAAAAACAAACATCTGAACAGACATTTTTCCAAAGAAGATATATAGATGGCCAACAGGCACAAGATGTTCAACATCACTATTATTAGAGAAATGCAAATCAAAATCACAATGAGATATCACCTCACACCTGTCAGAATGGCTATTATTAGAATGACAAGAAATAATAAGTGTTATAGAGGATGTGGAGAAAAGGCAACCCTCATACACTGCTGGTGGGAATGTAAACTGGTGCAGTCACTATGGAAAACAGTATGAAGAGTCCTCAAAAAACTAAAAATAGAACTACCATATGATCCAGCTATTCTATTTTTGGCTATTTATCCAAAAAGCACGAAAATACTAACTCAAAAAGACATATGCACCCCTATGTTCATTGCAGCACTGTTCATAATAGCCAAGACTTGGAAACACCCTAAGGGCCCATCAACACATAAATGGATAAAGAAGATGTGGTATATATACGCAATCGAATACTACTCAGCCATAAAAAAAGATGAAATCTTGCCATTTGCGAAAACACGGATGGACCCTGAGGGTATCTGCTAAGCAAAATAAGTCAGATGGAGAAAGCCAAATACCATTTGATTTCACTCATATGTGGAAGATAAACAAACAACACATAGATACAGAGAACAGATTAGTGGTTAGCAGAGGGCAAGGGGAAGGGGAGAGGGCCATAGAAGTACCAGGGCACATTTGTATGGTGACTGATGGCAACTAGACTTTTGGTGGTAAATGTGATGCAGTCTATACACAAGTCAAAAGACAATGATGTACACCTGAAATTTATATAATGTTATAAACCAATGTCACCTCAATAAAAAAACTAATTAAAAAACAAAACAAAACATGGAAGCAACCCAAGCATCCATCAAGGGACAAACAGACAAGCAAAATGTGGTATGTACATACAATGGAATGTTATTCAGCCTTAAAAAGAAAGGAAATTCTGATATATGCTATAACACATGGATGAACACTGACGACATTAAGCTAGGTGAAACAAGCCAGTTCAAAAAGGCAAATAATGTATAGTTCCACTTATATGAGATACTTAGAGTAGTCTAAATCATAGAGACAGAAAGTAGAATGGTGGTTGCCAGGACTGGAGGGAGGCGGAAATGAGGAGTTGTTTAAGGGGCACTGAGCTTCAGTTTTACAAGATGTCAAGTATTAAGGAGATGGATAGTGGTGACAACTGCACAATACCATGAATGTATTTAATACTACTGAACAGCACACTTATTAAGATGGTAAATTTTATGTTATATATATTTTACCACAATAAAAAACATTTGGAAAAAAGAAAAGATACCACATCAAAATTGTGGGATGCAGCTAACGCAGTGCTTGGAGGGAAATTTATAGCACAAATTTTCTATATTAATTTAAAGAGAAGAAGAAAGGTTTCAACTCAATCACTTCAGTTTCTATCTTAAGAAACTACAGAGATAAGAGCAAATTAAACCTAACAAAAGGAAATAATAAAGTTAAGAGTAGAAATCAATGAAACAAAGAACAAAAAGATATAGAGTATCAATAAACTAAGACCTGACTCTTTGAGAAGATAAATATTATTGATAAACTTCTAAGCACACTATTAAGGAAAAAAAATAAAGGAAAACAAATCTCTAATATCAAGGATGAGAAAGGAAACATCATTATAGAATCTAAAGATATTAATAGGATAAGAAAGGAATATTATGAACACTTGTATGCCAAAAAATTCAACAACCTAGATAAAAATGGACAAATTTCTTGAAAGACACAAACTAAAAATAATGTTCAATCAAGAAGAAATGGATAATGTGATCAGCCCTACTTCTCTTTTAAAAATTGAATTTATCTTGAAAAATCTTCCCTCAAAGAAAACTCAAGGCCAAGACTGCTTAACTGAAGAATTCTACAAAATACGTAAGGAAGAAATAATACCAATTCTTTACAAACTCTTCCAGAAAACTGAAGAGGAGGGAGCACTTATGAGGCATGTCACTTATGAAATCCTGTCATCAAAACCAGACAAAGATGTTACAAGAAAACAAACTGCAACTCTATGAGGTGGATACTATTAATCATTCCATTTTAGAGATGAAGAAATTGAGGACTGAAGAGATTGAGAAACTTGCCTAGAGCACAGAACTAAAAATTGGCAAGTAAACTGACTTCAGAACACAGGCTCTTAAGCTTAACACTATAACAGCTTCTCAAATTCAATTAAACTCTAGATACTCTTGCAAAAGAAAATAATAAAGAGTGCTGCTCAATACTTACCTAGAGACTATGCTGGAACCATTATAGAGATCACTAGCATATGACAATGTAGCCAAAGGTCGTACTGAATTATATCGAGTAAACTTAGACAAGCATTCCTGAAATTCATCCAATTGGCTTGCAGTTCGACTGTCATCTACATGAAGAAAACAAAATAAACAAATTGAACTACAACAAAAGCCAAAGAGCAATATCCACAGATTAAAAATTATATTCTAAATACAAACAACAATTCTTAAAAAGTATTTAGAGAAGACTAGTATACACAAATTAATTAGCTGATCTTTTAGCTTTAATAAAAATTTCTTAGTGGTTCTTTGAAAGATACCGTCTCTTTCAACACCAATAAGAACACACTGAACTCTCTTTTTTAAGCAATAATTCTTTGGAAAAAGAAAAAAAGTACCTCTGATCAGAAGTTAAATCATTTATTAAAACAAAAATCCCTTCTCAATGGAGAAAGGGTGGAGAGAGGAGTATATATACTGGACAGAGTTATCTATTAGTTTGAAGGTACATGTTTATCGGGATACATTGTCATGCCCATGTTTGATCCGTTGTCATGCCCATGTTTCTTTACTGTGAAAACACAATCTATAATAACATAATTTACATGTTAAAAAATTGGTTTTTAAGTAAGAAGAAAGTGAAACATTTGTTCACATAATACTTTGAAGTGTTTCAAATCCAATTACGGGAAGGGAATAGAAAATTGCAATGTATGAATTATTAATTCTCAAAAACAAACAAAATAATTTCACTCAGATGTCTTGGTGGAATATGGAAAACAATAATTCCATCCAACAGAATACTGTACGGGGCCGGCCCCATGGCTTAGTGGTTAAGTGCGCGCACTCCGCTGCTGGCGGCCCGGGTTCGGATCCCGGGCGCGCACCAAGGTACCGCTTCTCCGGCCATGCTGAGGCTGTGTCCCACATACAGCAACTAGAAGGATGTGCAGCTATAACATACAACTATCTACTGGGGCTTTGGGGGGAAAAATAAATACATAAAAAATTATTAAAAAAAAAAAAAGAATACTGTACAAATATTCAAAGAAAAGGCTATTTCAGTAAACTATTCATAACTAAATTATGTAGAATTTAAATCACAAAATAAGTTTATGAAGTACCTGAGAATACAGCTAATCTATTCTCCAAACTAGAAACAGGCCTACAGTGAAAAAATAAATTAAAAAATAATTCTTTTTTCAAAACTGCTTAAAGTTTGGACTTGTATTTTCCCTTCCAAAGAATTAAAAGTAAATCACACAATTACTTTAGTTAGCTTCCGAGACTGAAATTTGAAATAAGCCTGTTCTAGTGTTATCATACCTTCTTCCTTATTCTAAGCTCATACCCATACACACACACAACTTTTTCAAGGTAAATTTTCATAATTTCTCTTCTTAAATGTCCTCTGAAAATAACAGCAGGCATAATGAAATCAAGATATAAGAATCATTAAGTCAAAAGAGTTACTATACTATATAATGCATAGTAAAGGATTTATTTTATCTGGAGATATTAGGTTACCTTAAAGATAAGTGGTGACATGAAGAAATTCCTCTAACAAATATTACAAAGAAAAACAAACAATTATTTAAGGAAACTAAGTAAGTTTCTGTCCCTTATATTTTACATTTTTAAGATTTAAATACTAACTTAGCAAATTCATCTAACAACCTATATTATAAAAGGGTCTAATTTTGTAGTATTTCCATTCCAAAACCAGCAAAAGGAACAAACCTAATTAGCGTGCAATATCATAATGTTATTGAGATAAAGCTCCTGCTCCACAAAAATTATTCTCAGGAAATTCAACAAATTATAAATAAAACATGGGTTATTGCAAAAACAACAACTGTACTACAAAGTGATTTGAATGTAACAGTTAGTTGATTCTTTTTATACATAATCTTATTACTATGAGCTATTTAATGCAATAAATACTTACTGGAAAGACAGTAACTTTAGATATTCATTTAAAAATTATTTTAATGTTAATCTATTCTTCCACATTTTGACATCAATTCCTAAGCACATAAAATTCACAAGCATTCAAGAATGTGTATTCTGTTGAAGATCATAATCCTTTTCTAGGGTAGCTGAACTTCTGGCCTTCATACTTACTCATTAACACCTACTTGCAACAGAAGTTATAAAGAAAACACTAAAAAGAGTTATTTTAGTATCTGAAAGTATAGGAATTAGATTTCACTGATCTGGTTATGAAAAAGTAGGATTTTGTTTGCTTGGCTGGTGTTCAATGTTTCTTCTCTCTTCTAATGTTTTACAATTTACCTTCTCTTTCAATTACAAGTGAGAGTCCAAGGCATTAATTTCTTAATCTTCATCTCTCATTTTCATAGTTGAAAATAAGAGGTGAGGATGGGGGTGGACTCTCATTTGAAAATTTACAAAAGGACAACCAAACTCTTAGGTACCCCATTACAGAGAAGGTAAAATTTCCTCTTTACAATCAAGGATACTGGGAGGAACTTCACATTCAGCAACATGATGTGTAGACAATGGGCAAATTTGATAAGATAAACTTGAGATTCCTAACAACTAAGAACAACATGTATTAAGCACAATACAGCCATGCCCACAAAAATTAAAATTTAATCTTCCTCCTGGTTTTAACTTATTATTCTACCTTCCTGTAAAGCTATAGCCCAAAAATAAATTAAATTGGTTTGTGATTACCTTTACTATCCCACAGCATGCCTTCACTACTAGTTACTTAAAAATTATTAATAACAATAGCCTTCTCCAATCTCTCTTTCTCATCTCGTTTTTTTTAATGTCTGCCACTTGCCTGTGGTTGTATTTCAACATCATACCAACAAACAATATCTGAAAGCGTTAACATGAACCCTCTGTCAGTCAGAATGTAGGCCTCAGACACTTTCAATTTAACAGCTTCCTATGGCAGTTTACAGAGTATTACACAGGCTCAATAAAAGATTCCATTCCCAGGGGCCGGCCCCATGGCTTAGCGGTTAAGTGCGCGCACTCCACTGCTGGCGGCCCGGGGTTCGGATCCCGGGCGCGCACCAACGCACTGCTTCTCTGGCCATGCTGAGGCCGCATCCCACATACAGCAACTAGAAGGATGTGCAGCTATGACATACAACTATCTACTGGGGCTTTGGGGGGAAAAACATAAATAAATAAAATTATTAAAAAAAAAAAAGATTCCATTCCCAGACAATAAAATGAAAGCCTTCTACCTGTGTAAAAACTGTTGACTGTTAATTTCAAACACACTTATAAACAAAGCTTGGCTTCCTCCTAGTCTTCATAGGAAAAATGCTATGTAAATCTAATATATATTTTTTTCCTCTACCACCATTCCTGAGGCAAATTTGTCCAGAGGATCTAAGCAATGTGTAGACTATAATACAAACATGCCTATTAAAGTGAAAACCAAGGCCAAATTTTTAACAACTAATAAAATATCAGACATTGTTTTCCTTGGTGGTCCTCATTTTGAGCAGGTATACTAATAATGACATCCATTAATTGAGCACCCAACTTATACCAAGCAATGTATTTTATATCCATCACCTATATACCTTAAAAAAACCCTGCAGGGTTGGTATTAATGTCCCAACTTCATTGGTGAGCCAAGACAGTAAGAAAGGCTAAAGATCAGAGAGCTAACAAAGAGCAGCAGAACTATGTTACTTTTCTACAGCAATTAAGAATATTCTATGCTATCACGTTGATGTCTTTGCATAAGTTATTTTCTCTACTTTGAACATGCTTCTACTTACCTTTTTTAGTTAATTAATACTACCCTTGATTAAATAAAACTCCTCTGAAATCTCTACAGTGATCATTCCCTTACATTTCCCCATTTTCAACTTGGCCTGACTTTTTCACTCCCAGCTTTCTTAGTGCATATTCTTCTCTATTACCATAACTTTGCATATTTATATAACATATAATATCACACAGAATTATTTATCTGTTGCTTTTCCCCACTAAATTTACAATACTCCTTGGCAATAAGAACTGGTTCTTTCACCTTTTTATTCGTAGCAAAAAGAACAGTGCTTAGAACTTAATAAATGTTGAGTAATTGGAGGCAACTGAATGGAATTACCTTTGCTAGCTACATATTCATGGTTCATTTTTTTTTTAACTTTATATAGCTCACTATATAAAGATTAAAAATTTCCAAATACAGAACAAGAACAAAAATAGCTTTGGGAAAGTAATGTCCTCCAAGATCTCTAAAAACCTCCACAATGTTCTGGTAGACTATGTCGAAAATACATACTTTTGCTTTATGAATAGCACTTTCCATAAATCCAGCCTAAGAAGCTAGAAATGGATCTGAAAGATGAATTTCAGATATTTTAAGAAGTCCTGAATATATACCTGAGATACGAGACATCCTTGTAGAAAAGTAACATTGCTCTAAGTCTTCAAAATGAGCAGTGAGTCGTTTTCGTCTTGATGCTAATGTGCTGTTATACCAAGGCTGTTTCTTCGCCTAAGGTGATAAAAAGAAAAGACACTCATAACTCAGAATAAACCATACTCTTTTTCTGCACAGAATATCCAAATGCTTGCATATTTAATTTCAAAAGTTCATCACATTAAAATAATTACAAATGGCAAAAACCCTTAGTTCTTAGATCATATTTTCCAATTTGTATTTTAAAGTGAAAACAGGCCAATTTTACAAGAATAAAATGAAAAGTTGCTTTCAACTCTCCAAATTAAATGAAGATAGAATCCATTATAACTGCCATTCTAAAATTTGGAATTTTGAGAATTTTAATATGCAGACATTGTTAGAAAACAATTATCAAAAGAAAACTAACTGTGGGGCTGGCCCAGTGGCACAGCGGAACACTTCGGCGGCCCGGGGTTCACCAGTTCGGATCCTGGGCGCCAACCTACTCACCGCTCATCAAGCCATATTGAGGTGACACCCCACATAGAAGAACCAGAAGGACCTACAACTAGGACATACAACTATGTACTGGGGGCTCTGGGGAGTAAAAAGAAAAAAAAGAGGAAGATTGGCAGGCCAGTCTTCCTCAAAAAGGAAAATAAAAAATAAAAGCTTCAATTTAACAAAAAAAAGAGAAAATTTAATTGCTTTTTCATCATCACTATATTGCAGCCTTGTACGCTTTGAATAACAGGAATAGTGCTTGATTGTACAGAATAGGTATTTAAGTTAACATTAGATTAAGGAGCAGTAATATATATGTTAAATCGTTTGATATATACATTAGATTAGAATAACTAAATCAGATATATACAGACTAAGACAGCAAACCTGAAATATACTGGTATATAAATCCTATAAAAAACAAGTCTGTGATCCTAAATATATAATATTACCTACACTATGCTAACTGAAAAGATAAGACAATTCTCCCACAAATGGTTATCTATTATGCTTGAGGCACAAAAACAGATACAGAGATAAGACACAGTGAGATCTTCAATGACACAGGTTCACCAATAACTATACCACAATTACAAATGTATTAAAGTACTACCATGAACAAAACACTCTAAAGTGAACCCCTGCTAAAACCAGATGGTAGATAACAGTATTTTAAAGCAGTGCTTGGATCACAAGAAAGTAAGACAATTTCCAAAGTCATAACAGATTAACAACCAAAGAGGAAACTGAACTCAGAGAGCTGACGTTGAAGAAAATATAACAGTGCAAAGGAGGGGAAAGAGAAAGAGGACAATAGTTATTTGGAGACAAATACCTACAAAAGAAGTACACTGAGATTTGGAGACTGAAAAGAGAATTTGCAAACTGGAAGATAAATCTGAAGAGATTACTAAGAATGAAGGATAAAAGTCAAGACGACAGAAAATTTGAAAGAGAATATGAGAGATCATAAAAGAAATAATAGTAACATTTAAAATACGGCCACTCAGATACCCAGAAAAGAGTAACAGACCAAAGAAGAAATATTTGAAGAGTTGATGTTGACCATTTTCCAGAACAGAAAACAGACATGAACATAGAATAAACACACCAGATAATAGCATATAAGTCAGAAGAGAGTGAAGAAAGTGTAATTCTGGAGTCCTCATGTTGTTCAGGAAGGTAACTGAGATAGTGATTGAGTTTAGTCTCTGTTTAAATGTTAAGTATGGATAAATTTCAAGGATAACCACTGAAAGAACAATAATAGAATAGGTAACATTTAATCTAGTAGAGGGGTGAGAGGAGGGGGTAAAAATATAAAAAAAAATTCAAAACATGAGGCAAATAGCAAGCATATTAAGGAGTAAAAAAAAGTGAAACTATATCAGTAATCATAACAAATGTAAATGGAAACATTCACTAATTTAATTAGTGATACAATGGATTTGTAAGAATACAACTATATGCCATCCGCCAAAGAAACGCCTAAAACATAAATCGAAAATCTGCTGAGGTAATAACGTGAAAAATAATAATATATTTTTAAATATATTATTTAATTATTTAATTTTTTAAATTATTATTTAATAATTTAATTTAATTTAAATATATTATTTAAATTAGGCAAATATAACCAAAGGAGGTAAAAACAGACTCAATATGAAAAACATTAATGGGGATGCAAATAGCCAGTGCATAACAGAAAAATTTCAATTCAATAACTGCATATCCAGTATGTACAAAATAACAGCCTCAAAAATATATAAAGCAACAATTCCTAGAGAAATTAACGAATTCACCAACATAGCTGGAGATTAACCTCCTCAACTCAACTGAGAAACTATGCCAGCAATACTACTATAGATATAGCCAAATGCAAAAGCTTAATTTAATAAATACATATGGAATACTACAACCAATTAGAAACATACATTCTTCTTAAGCATACACAGAACATTTACAAAAATTGGCCATGTACTATATCACTGAATATGTTTATGATCTCAATAGGGTAGGATTTCTTAAATGAAACACAAAAAGCACTAATTATAAGTTATAAACTCCATGACACAGAAGTTAAGAACTTCTGTTGCCCAAAATCCATCATTAAAAAGGTAAGAAGACACAAACTGTGAGATATTTTTGTAACACATAATGAATAAATCATTAGTATCCTGAGTATACTTTTTTTAAAAAAAGCTCCTATTAGTAAAATAAGAAAAACAATTCATACAAAAAATGGGAAAAGACACGAAATGCCATTTCAGGAAAGATAAAATATGAATGGCCAATAAACATAAGAAAAGATGCTGGCCTTATAGTGATAGGAAGATGTAAATTAAAACCACAACTAAATTCTATTTACTACCCACTAAAGTGGCAACTATTTAGAAGTTCAACAGTAATAATTATTGACAAGGATGTGGAGAAACTAGAATGCATATACTCCTATGGTGGGAGTTTTAAGTTAATAAAAAGACTTTAGAAAACAATTTGATATTATCTCAAAATACAAAAAGCATTGATATGTATACCAAAGGACCTTCACTTCCTCTCCCAGGCACACAATCTAGGGAAACTCTTGCACCTGTGCATCAGGAGACACGTACCAAGATGCCCTTAATAGCAAAAACAAAAACCCTAGAAATACATCAAATGTATACAGACTGGACAATTGATAACTTGAGGTATACTAACAAAACGAAATATTTTAAACATTAGTGAGGATGAATCAACTACAGCCATAAACATCAGGAATGAATCTTTGAAAAAACAAGTCTCAGAAAACTATATACTATGATACCATTTTTATCAAGTCCAAATATAACCAAACCAAATAATATAGGGGTACACATATGTACAGTAAAAATATTTTAAAAAGTCAATACACTGATAAACACAAATATCAGAAAAGTGATTACCTCTGGACATGAGGCAGGGTGATGGAATTTGTTAGGAGCACGTGGGTAACTTGAATAGTATGGTTAATGTTCTAGTAATTAACATAGGAGTTGGGTTCATAAGTTTCTTTTATTATAATTATGCTTCTAACTTACATATTCATACAATGTTCCTTCTTATGTACCAACATATTTTTTATAAATTCTAAGGGGAAGAATCTAGATTTTTAAAAAGGTGATCTGCTCAATGGAAAAACATAAAAGACTTCATAGTCTGAAACATGAGAATGATTACAATAACAAAAATCAGGAATATGACATATAAAACAAATGAGAAGTAGTCAAAAACACAATTTGATTTGGATTCCAGTTTTTATAGCTTTGGATTCCAGTTTGTACAGCAAACTCACCTTCACAACTATTTTGCTAATATTTATTTTTAGCTTTTCTTGAATTTATTTATTCAGTGCAATTCCTTTTTAATTCATCCAAAAATAGGTTGCTTCATAACTGTTTGTAAATATGCATCATTTGGCTCATTGTCATATATGTCTATTAAATTCACAAATAACATTAATATAAATGAATAGAAATATGTTAACACTGAGGGGATAAATTTTTTGAGAATACAAACTAGTTGCAGATAATACACAAGGCCAATCATCAAATTGAACATAAACTCAGGATAAGCTCTATAACCTGGAAGTAGGATATAAATATGGTTAGAAATCAAAAGGAGATGTTCATCCATTGTGTTTATCTAGATAAGTTCTAAAGAAAAATGGCTACATTTACCAAACTCAAAGATAATTAAATTTCACCACAGCAAAAACAGAAGCACATAAATATCTTATTTGGTCATTGAGAAAGTTAAACACTTCTCACATAACACTAAAAAGTTCATAGGCACAACTATAAGTGAGCAAACTAAACTTGATGATTATACAGAAAGATGACTTAGTGTCAGCCTGTAAATTACGAAAAATCTTTATAAATTTAACAAAAATCTGATTCCCAATGAATGGAATTAAATTGAAAATAGAAAAGAAGCACTCAAAACTGAATATTCCATTTCACATACTTAATATAAACTAATAGGCAAGAATACAAAAGCAGTGAGATCTTTAAAAGATGAATGAAATCAATGTTTGTACAATGAAAGAAATAATTGTTACCATAGCAAAGTTCCTCATCAATTCCACTAAGAAAAGATCCCTACCGTAAACGAAGCTGAAAGTGTTCTGAATGGTTAACCGAAATTTGCAAATTTTTCAACATATAAATAAAATACCACTTCCTCACAAACTGATTTTATAAGTGAAACAATGCAGAATGAAAACCTAATTATTATTTACACAGTAAGTATATAAGATCAAGGACCAAGTGGAAAATAATAAAAGAAATTAACTGCTAAACACACACACATATACTTTCAAACCAACAGATTTAAAGAATGGCTTAAAAGGAGAAAGCTACGTAATTTAGAACAGTGGTTCTCAAAGCATAGTCCTCAAAGTGTGGTCTTGAGGCCCCTTGAGGGGGCCCTCAGAGACCCCCTCAGGATATCTGCAAGGTCAAACCTATATTCATAAATACAGTAAGACGTTATATGCTGTTTTCAATGTGTTTATGTATGTACTTGTGATGCAAAAGCAAACATCAGTATAAAATTGCTGGCCTCATCAC